GGGTTGAGACGATGACGTGGAACGACTCTGGCGATGGCTGTTTTTTTGAAGAACCCGGTAGTAGTAGCAAGAAGCTAATTAAATTAATTCTAATAGCTTTTTTGTTACTACTAGTAAGGCACCTGTTACTACTAGCGTGGCACTTGTTGCTAGCCGTTCAGGTTTCTGAGTTTATCATTTACTGTGCCATTTTTCTGGTGTGCCCACTAGTTAGCTAGTGAAGAACATCGTGAGAGTGAAAGGCCTGTTTAGTGATTGTGCGGCTTCAATGTGCCCCGTTTAATACTTTTCATGGTTGACGCTCACGACAGTGGTACGATGCATAAACATTACAAGTACCAACAGAAAACACAGGTGAAGGCAGCGGTTGTGGGCCTGCAAGATCATTTGCGAGACCCGAAGCTAGCAACATGGATGCTGAGCAAGCTGGCACGTGCCTTTGGCTGCAAATAGCCAAAATTGACACGTGCCCGCTGACATGCATTTTGACAATTGAACGATGTTGAACGACTTGATGTTCAGGCGTGCAGGTTTGACAGATTCCTTGATTTCTTGATTTGGCTCATCAGTTGGATGTGGTGTTGCACCTCATCAGGCGTATTCAGGTTGCAAGTCATAAACTAGTACTAGTGCCTATGACTGCCTGTGACGTGCATTTTCACGTCCAAAAATGAGGTGCCCTCCCAGTTGGAGCCCTACAACTTCTTCATGTGTTGCTTAGCCAACTCAATGGAGATCGTCTTCACGCTTTGGCCCACAGGAGAAGGTATGTAGCGCCTTTCAAAACATGTATTCCATCTACAGACGAACAGTATCAAGATGTATCAAGTATTCAAGGAGAAAAGCCGCTATTCCAAGGTGCTTTTCCCATGTTCGTGTTATTCCCTTCATGCACCCGAGAGATCGGAGAACTGAAAAACCATCGAGGCTTCACGAGCACGGCCTGCAGTTGAACGTCTACCATGCAAGCGCAGTCTGCTGCCAAACGATCATTCAATCTTCAAGCCGAGAGTTGGGGCATCAAATTGAGAGCATGTCACTGACATTTTGTAGCATTGCACTCACTGCCACTATTGATCTTGATTGTCCCTGACCGTATTGGTGTTGGCCTTCTTATGTTGTTTGTGAATTCCCAGAACTGTTGATTCTGAACGTTTGGATGTTCATTAGATCTGAAGGCCATGGATGGAGAGAGAGGGAGTTCATGAGAATTCAACGCCCAAGGCCGTTCAGGAATGGAAAGCGCATGTATCTGAATTGAATGAGCAGCGTCGAAAAACCTCAAGAAAGGAATTTAGATGAAGTTCATGTGCCAGCATCCTCCAACAGGTCTCCTTTGGAGGGTTGTTAGGCCGTAACAGGTTTCAATTGGTGACCTGTTGGAGGGTCCTGGTGGGTAATCGCCCTCGAAAGTGAAAACCCAGGCCGAGAAAGCCTTGAGAAAGCTTCGCGAATGTGACATTTGGATCTGTTGTTGCGAAAGTAGTTGCGAAAGCTGTTCTGAAATTCATATGTTTTTCTATTAACCATTTGCACGTCAAAGGACGAGGGTTCCGCCGCGAAAGTGGCGAGAAAGTAAATACTTTGAAATGAGGCCCGCAAAAGTAAAAAAAATTGGTCGCGAAAGCGGCAGGAAAGCACTCGCGAAGACCTAGCTGATTAGAACCCCACCGCAACCCGTTTTTGACACAGCTCAATTGTATGAGGCCCCATTTTGCGCAGTGACTTAATCCAAACGATCCCCCAGATCAACGCACTCAGAGCACCCAGGCACTCACAGCTTGCGAGAGGGCTGGCCTTTGGCCAGAAGCCTTTGCTTTGATGGAAGGAATGCGACACAAAACTGTGTGCCCCAACCAGCTGAGCTGCCCGGCAGAGAGGAGCACAGGACATCACAGTGTACCACTGCTTGACATCATGTGAGTTCAGAACTGTAGATAGATTTGTAGGGCGTGGTGGATTTTTTGAAAACACCAAAACAAAAGAGACAGAGAGACTAGAAACTGGACTTGCTTTTCCAAAGTCAGTGCTTGTCGACCAGGCTTTGGTGCTGCGATCAGCGCATGTGGACGGCTTGGCTTGTGGCTGCGAGCGCTGCAGCTTGTGAATGGCATGGAGCGCGGGGCGTGGAGCATACCACCCGATGCCATCAGTAGCTCAAAGGCAGTAGCTCGCGCTTTTTTATTTGGAGGGGGTGACCATAAGCATGAGACATGACCCAGAATTGCAAGCTTGAAAGCCCCTCAGGTTTCAGTGCCTGCATCAGCGCCTGCGAGAAAGGGTTGGGGCCCAATTAACGAGGAATTGAGCCATTGAGATGATTCACAAAGCCTTGCTCTGGTTGTTGGATTTGCAGGAACAGTGTTTGGATTTTGTTCTCAGGTCCGAGTGGCAAAGTTCCCTCTCTTTTCTGAAGACGATGGCCTCCAAAGGAGCGGAACCCAACACGTTGAGCTGTAGTGGAGCAGTCAGTGCATGTGAAAAAGCAAGTGGCAGCCTTTGGCATGTGGCATTGAGTTTGTCAGTGATGGCTTCTCCAGATGTGGTGAGTCACAGCGCACCTAGTCGGCAATCAATCGCCATGGATCTGCGTAGTTTCAAGAGGTTTTTCCGAGATGTGCTGGATTGATTGCTTTGCCTATACCCCCTGCATAATATCTATAGTTACTATAGTGAGGCCCTACATCCAGGCGCGGAGGAGGAGTGATGGACCCAAAATCAGATCAAAGGTAAGCTCTTTGGGCAGCTAAGGCCACGATCAGTGCTTGCGAGAAGGCTGCAAAATGGGCGTTATGTTTGGAGCTGTTGCTTCTCTCACCATCTCTGAGATTGGTTGCCAACTTGGCATCTCCATCAGCAAGAGTGCACTAGCAGTTTGGTCACATCGGCTGTTTTGCACATCGTCCATGTCATCATTTGGCTGGGGGCAGCCACAGCATCATCTCAATGAGGCGGGAGTTTGGGGAGAATTTGGAAAGTGGTGTTGCCATGTTCAAGCGATCCTAGGTCACCTACAATGCAGCAATAAGTGCTTGCGATCGACAAAGCCAATGGGAAAGTACAATCCTGCTGCACCTAGGCCGCACCTCACACTGGAAGGACAGGCATGGCTGTGGTCAGTCGAGGCTCAAACGCTCGCTCGCGCACTGGTCCAGGGAGCGTTTTGCAATGAGGAATGCGCCAAATGCACGATGATACTGGGCCCATGCTATTGTGCACCAGATGCTGACTGCCCATATCTTGCCGTGGTGTACACATTGTTGCGTGATGGTGCGGTCTCACAGGATTCGTGCCGGTGATGCAATCCTGATGCTGTGTGTGGTTGTGGTATCAGACATGATCAGGTTAGCTGCCTTGGCCTCACAGCTTTTGAAGCCAGATCTCTTGAGCTCCTTGGCATGAAGTTGCGCACAAACTCTAGCTTCCGGTGGGCCCGTGGGCCTTTGGTGGGAGCAAACAGCAGAGGTTTTGGGATTGGTGTTTAGAGTGTGAAACGGGATGTGAGGGATTGCTGCTGGGCCATGGGCCATTCCACAGGGAAGGGTAAGAGGTGTGGGAAATGCAAGCCACTGCTTCGGCATTCGTAGTGGGAGAAGTAAGGATTCAAGAGGGAAGGCTGAACCGTGCGCAGCACCATGAGTACAGAGTGAGGAAGATATCACTGTCAAAGTTTGTGCCGAGGCTTCAATGCAGCCCTTAGCGCTTGCCGCTGCCAGCCTTGCGCTAGGATTTTACTGCATGATATGGAAGGCACGGCTTTAGATAACCTTGTTGTCAGGCATGGACTTTGCCTTTAATTAAGTGTTTGACAAGCAAACATCAGCCTTGGTTCAGGATTTTCCTGGCAAGGGAGCATGAAATTTCACAATTGATTGAAGAGCTTCCTTTGCCAACGGCTGTTCCAGCATGCAGCATGCCTTATCACTTTGTGTGCTTTGACGTCGTAAACTGTGTTTTCAGGATTTAGAAGAGGAACATCCACACAATACTCGTTCGGGTTTTGCATTTTTTTGGTGCAATGATGTTGTATCGTCGGTGTTGGGATAATGTCGTTTATGTCAAGGCCACAGCCTGGAGCCCGACACTCAGCAATTTCATGCAATGTCTAAGCAAGATTGTTGGATAAAATGATGCCTGAGATAAAGATTGTGAGTGTGGTTTGAACTTGGCACAGTTTATATATAGCCAGGTAGTGGGTGTAAATAGACTTCAAGTCAGGGTCCCTAATCGAAATATCTTGAGATATCTTGAAAATTGGCAGTCCATCTCATTCCATCATCAGGCCCGACATGATCACCTTTGCAAGTCTTCGGTGCTTAACTGGAGAAGAGGCCTGGCAGGCAAAGAAGATTTCTGACACCCTTTAACCGCACACTCTATGCAAGACTGTACTTTTCAAGACTGTCCAAGAACAGCAGAAAGCATGAATGAGGACTGTATGGGCAAGGACGTCTCCCTAACCTCATTTGTCCATGTGATTGCATGTTTTGGTCCTCACCAACAGCGTCTTAACCCCTCCTCTCCCCTAATAAAAGCTCCAAACAAGGAACCCCACAGATGGAACCTTGGAAAAAAATCAAAACCGAATAGTCCAAAACCCTTTACCAAACTCATATAAAAGTGTGGCAAACATCCTAATCGAAGGGTCCTCCTTTACCGTTCGCGAAATCTTTTGTAAAAGTAGGTTATATTATCTTCGATTTCTTCGCTTGTATAGTATAGTTCCCATCGGACTAGCAACTAAAGATGTTGAAAGGTGATATCGCTGTGCCATGCGGTTTGGCTAGGCCTCGGAGGGAAGTAGTTAGCTCTGTGCCAAAGGGGAATGGGATACAAGCGTGTGTAAATGTGGCGTGCCGTCGGTGAGCAGATTGTTGTAGCTAATGCAAAGATATACAAAGATTGTTTCAAAAAGTTGCCTTGGGCGCTTTTGAGCAGCAGAAGGTAAAGGCACCAATTTAGTGCCAGCTGCATTTAGCTGGCCCCGACTCCAACTTGAGTCTTGTTCGGGTAGTGACTTGAAATAGCTTCTTGCATTCGCCCATGCTAAACCCAGCCGAGCATCCCCACCTGATGAACCCAAGTGCTCATGAATGTGCGTGACGAAGACGCATGTGAAGGTATATATGCGATGTTAAGCGTTCACTGTGCTTTGCCGAAGTTATGGCGAAGACAATGTATAAAACTCTGTACTTCGTGCAATATTTGCTAATGCGTCCCAGGTCCGAAGCATAGAAGAAAGTAAGGGGTCACGCCTCTATACACCCCTATTCGCGTTCAGAACATGCAAAAATTCCAGGGAGGCCCGGTATGCTTTATATATAAACCCATCCCCCTCAAGAACACGTGTGTTCGTGCGGTGTTCTACATGAAAAGATTACAAGAAGCCGAAGAACAACAGCTGGCAATAAGTAATAAGTTCCAAGTCCCGCTTTCTTTAGTACGTATGTATCCCACGGCATGCATGCATACATACTATACTACTACATACATGCTCGAGACTCTAGGTATGCATGTTTCTGCAAGAAACATTCATACTTCCAAATCCCACCTGTTGGAGCATGCTGTGCCCCAGAGCATACATACACCTCCTCAGCATGCATACATACCTTTGGGTCCGTATGTTTGCAGCGCGCGTGTTTCAGCAGGGCGCGCGTGTTTCAGCAGGGCGCCTGCAAATGTGATGTTCCCCACAGCATTATACATACACTCCTGAGCGCACATGACATACAACCTTCCAAATCCCAACTTGAGAAGTATGTAACTGTATGTTTCCCAGCAAACCCGCATACATACATGCATAATCATGTACATACACATACATACACATACACATACATATACATATACATACACATATACACACATACATACACACATACACACATACACACATACACACATACATACATACATACATACATACACAACTGTTGCGGGTGTTAAAGTGTGAGTGGAGCGCAGAAAGCATCGTTTCTGCAACTCTATGTTTACGCTAGCTACATCCAATGTTTGTGCTTGTATGTTTGTATGTCTCCTTACTGTTTCTGTGTTTGCGTGTCCGTTTGCGCCTGTCTATTTTTGCATTTGCAGTCCCTCCCCTCCAATCAAATTGGTAACAGTTGTTACGAAAGCCAGCCGATAGGCTAGGCTTGAGTTTTTAGACCGAACGAAGTGAGTCACTATGAACCTGGAGCTTGCCTGGGGAGAGCGCTCCAAAGCGAGGGTCAGAAAAGCAGTGAAAATGGGGTTTGGTGATGCGAGTGATGCAATGGACGCCGACTAGTGCATCATTAGCATCAGGAAGGGCTTTGGATGCTATTTGGACAATGGGCATTGAGCACGAGTGGAGACACGGACAGAAGCACAGAGCAGACCGCAGCCGCATGTAGGATATGAGTTCCCAGGACAACCCGTAACTCGCAAAACCCATAGAGAGCCGAAAGTGACATGGGCTCAACTTCATGAATTTGGATTGAATTTCGGCGGGGGCGCCTGCGAGGTTGACTACATATCCGCATAAGGCTCCTTCCCCCTAGCAAAAACTGTGGTCCTCGGTCGAGTGGATGCTCCGGCGTCCACACGCACCGAACGTTTTTCCGGCTTGCCGGCGCAGATAGATACATACATACATACATACATGGAGATACAGATAGAGAGATAGATAGATAAATTCATATAAATTCTATATACTACTGACTCATGACGTCGCCTTTTTGCTGGCAGCCCTGGCCGAATCCAGTCAGCCTGGGTCCACGGCCCAAAGATCTACACACGCAGGTGCCAAAGTCAAGGCCTCTGAGTGAGAAAGGCGCAGAGTTGATAAGAAAGAGAAGAATAAGGAAGGTGTTTGGATCGTTCAATAAAGGCCCCTTTAAAGGAAAAAGACTGTTTTTTGGATTGGGCCAGAACGTGACTCACTCAAGTCCAGGCATGTGCATCGATAGGCGCACAAATCCTCACTCCTTTGCTAGCCCAAGCTACTCCTGCTGGACCTCCCCTTCTGCGCCGCGGGATCAAACGTCCGTGTCCCGGCAAAGACGTGCCCGTTCACTCTTCCAAATCAACGAAGGCTTGTCGACGTGCCACAGTACGCATTGCAAACTTCAAACACTCCAAATGTAACAAACACACAATTGATTCTTTTCAAACGCATGCCGCTCGCTCGCGGCGACGCTCACTATGGAGAAGGTCTTCCTGCGCGCGCGGTATCCCACCACTCGAACCCAGACGGTATTTCCCTTTCGCTAACGCTGATGTCACCTTCCAACTTCCATAAGATGCATGCCTTCCCTGCGTGTGACAAACACATGCCATTGCCTTGTAAGTGGTGATGACCTACACCCACTTACAACATATCGCATCTCTCTTTCACTACTTCTTGATTTCTTGCATAATTACCAAACTTATCCCACGGCCGCCCGGCTTGCTTCTGGATTCTCTGCTCCCTCAATCACCATTACACACGCCCCCCCCGCATCTGCGGCACCGCTGACTCGCAAGCTGTCGACCATGTGTCTTGCGCTGCGACGCCCGCCAAAAAAAGAGACACTCGTCTGGCGGCTGCTGGCTTTCGTCCCCCCCTTCTCAGGCTTGATATATTTATGCCGGTGGGATCCGGTTGGTGTTTCTTCCGGGGGACATACAAGCCTCAAACCGCAACCTATGTATGCGCGTCTGTATAAGTGTGTATGTTCAAGGAAACATACATGCCTTACCCACTTGGAGCCCGCAGCATGTCAGCACGACAGCGGGGCCCGGCGTCAGCGTCTCAGTGCGACAGCATGATAGCGTGACCCGTGTCAGCCTGCCAGCAAGACAGCATGACGGCCTGACAACATGCCAGCATGATGCCATGCCCGCATACCAGCGTGACAACATGTCAGCGTGTTTGGGCGTCAGCGTGACGACAGCATGCTTACATGCGTCACACAGTCGCAACACGTCAATCAAGTTTTGACATGGGAGCGCATGCCATACGAGCATCATGGCCTGCTGACATGACAACATCACGGCACCACCAGCGGTTGGTCCTTTTTCCCCGAAACTTGCTCCGGGACCTGCTGCCTGCTCCGGAACCTCCTCCACGACCTGCTCCAGAACGCGCTCCTGAACCTGCATTGGGAGTTGAACTTCTCAACTTGCTTCAGAACTTGCACTGGGCCCTGCTCCGAAACTTGTTCCACCTATTGAGCACGACCCTTTGGAACAAGTGTTCATACCAACCCACCCCGCCTGCGGATGACATCAGCCCTGTCGTTCTTGCGCAGCCAATTTTTAAATGAAAAGGAGCGGCCCCTGCCCCACAGTAGCTGGGCAGGATGTAGAACTGAAATGAGGTTTTGGAGGACTGGATCGATTGAATGAATCGCCCATGACGTCGACATCGTTTGCACCTGAAAAGCTGAAGGGTTGTCCACCCATTGTAGACCTGGTAGCCCCACCACAGTTGTGTAGATGGACCATGGAAGGCCAAGTCCACATATTATGCAAAAGGTTGCGCTTTTCTGTCGAAATGCACTGCTGGACCTGGAGTTGACTTTTGATGCTTTTTCAGGTGCCAGCAATGCTCTCATCTATGGAGACTTGGCAGGTTGAATTATTAAAGAATCAGTTTTCAAAAAATGTTGACAAGTTTGGGGGGGCACTGCCGCATCGATGAAACGTCGCGGACCGGTGTTTTTAATTAACAACGGGCTCGCACGCCTGCTCGCTCGCACGCACGCATGCAATTGCGAAGGATGGCCCAAAGAGCGACATTCAGAGTGGATCTCGGTGAGCATCCGCCCTTTAGAATCCTTTAGAGCTAGCTATATAATCTGCACTGCCCGTGTAGAGCGCCGAAACCTATTGGAAAGGCGACTGGGTCAGAAAACAGTATGCCTTCAACCAAGAAGAATCCAACAGGTACACAGTCAGACGTCTCTGACTTCGTTGGCCAGCGTCGTGATGCTACTCCCTGGCCCCCTGCTGCAAATGCGATTGAGACGGGGTCCGTAAAAGTCAGGGTGGCTGAGGGCTGTGAGGGGCGAAGATGTGGTGCATAGGTCGTTGAAAGACTGAAACGGTTGTCTACGTATCGTGAAGTGTGGTAGGTGTCATTCCAGATGTGTTCAATGAGCGTGATCGCCGCATTGCAGAGGGCTGGGGAAAGTTGAGTTACAAATTTTCGTTTTAGTTCGTGGGGCCACACGTGAATTCGAGCCATGCGTGAAAAGAAAGATGGTGTGATTTTCGGGGATCTAGATGCAGAGAGCCGAAAGCCCTTCAGCCGCATATCATTCGTTTACAGCGTGAAAAGATAAGGTAGTAGTGGTATATCTGTAAGGGAAAATGGAAAGGTTAGCGTAATAGCAGTACAATAGCGGCAAAGCAAAGGCCACGACATAAATAAGTAAATCGATAAGGAAATAATTGGTGATAGAACAGTAGTGACATAGGAATCGTACACAGCGATGATGGATTAAAATTGAAATCCGATATGTTATTATTCAGAATGAATCCATATATATATATTTTTTTCCAACTATATAAAAATATATATTATTTATTAATAATTTTTTTATCTATTTTCGTTTTATGCATTGAAAAATTGTTGATTATAGATTGATAATATTGAAATATAGGATGATACCTATTTATGTTATTTTATTGTATATTGAATGAAATTTGAATATATTGTTTTTTGAAGATTTAGGGATTTTGTTGGTATTTTGCGATATTAAAACGAATTATGTGGTTTTAATCGATGCTATTATAGATATATGGATATATTGTATTTTGTATAAAATTGATATTAATAATATTAAATTGATATAAATTATATTGTTTTGTTTTTTTGCATAAATAGATTAAAATATATGGTAAAATTTCTTAATGTTGGAGATTTGTGGAAAAATTATATGATATTTTTATATATTTTGTTTGAAAATAAAAGGATTTGATATATTAATGAAAAAAAAACGATTTTATCGTAATTTTGATTTTATAATATATAATACAATTAATATTGAAATTGATGTAATTTGCATTTATTGTTTTTTAAATGGTTGTATGATATTGATATATTTGCAAATTGACAATACATATTTTTAATTTTCTTAGTATTGATGATATTCGGGGAATTGGATTTGAAAAAAAAAATATATATTTTTCTTATTTTAATAATAAAAATTGCGTCGGTTAGGTCGTGGTAATTTGTCTAATGTTATTAATATTAATGATTATGGGAAAATTTTTATTAGATATTGAGGAATTTTATTTGAATTGTTCGTATAATATAAACGAGAATATAGAATTTTATTGGTTATTTTTGTGCCGATTAAGATGGGTGGTTGTGTTTTTTGCATTTTTGATTTTAAATGGTTGATTTAAATTATTACAAATATATTTTATTTTTTTTAACCACTTCTAAAATATAATTTATGTTTTGGATTTGATTTCGAAAGTAGATCTAAATTAATTGAAATATAAATCCAAAATTATGATTTTTATTTTGGGGGATTAAGAGCCGCAGGATACTAAGGCATTTATATGTGTCTTATAATCTGGACAAAATTTTTTGAATTTATAGTAAGACTAGGAAGCGGAAATCGATGGAATTATCTAAGGGATTGTAGAGATTTCCCAAAGTTGGATTGAGGTTTTTAAGGAATGATAGGGAGATTATTGGGAGATATTAGCACGATTGGGAACCACCCGGATAGCAGGGGTAGGCGGTTTATTTCTTTGATTGACTTATACCCTTCGTTGAAATAGGAGTAATTTGTCGATTGGGGTGCATGAAAATGGAAATGATTTTATTTATATTATCTTTAATGGGGGAGTATATCCGGAATCGGTCCTAAGACCTCCGTCGTGCATGAGCACAGAATATTGATTGAGATCTTTCGGCTGGGGTTGTGCAAAGATTTGGGTTTGTCTTTTTTTAAGATGTCCAATTTATGTAGGATTGGGATGCTCGATTTAGGCGAAGCATACCCTCTGGAAATGCTATTATTTTAGTCTTCACACTGCGCGAAGCATACTTCCGAAGCATACCCCATAGTCAAACATCCCGGCCCGGGAACCATAAAAAATACAAACCCATTTATTGGATCCTTGCAATTTGTTGAGTTTTGAGCTTTTGATTCGCCGGATAAAGACCTTCGAGATTGTTGTCAACCGGTCGTTATCGTCGCGTGAGCTCCAGGGATTGGAGTTGTTGGTGGACAATTCGATTAGCGAGGCCCGTTTAGCGTCTATAAAGGCAATTGTTGTTTGGCTGGTAGAAAAATTCAGAAGTAAGCCCGCCTCTATCGTGAGGAGGTTACTCGAAACAAGGGGCACGCCAATATTTCGGATGAACCAAATTGGAGAAAAAGCTAAGGCGGGCGCTGGAGCAACGAGCTTTCTGACGCGGCTGCCAAATGGATCAGAATTTATGGCTCGCGTGTAGTTGTTTGATATGTGAGCAATAGTGAATAATAGATGGTCGTGGGCAATATAAAGAATTCACGATGATCTATTTCTTTTTGCCCCGGATTGGATTGCATTTTGTGCGGGCTTAGTTGAGATTTGTTTTGTTTGGCAAGGTTTTTGGTCTGCGCGCGCATTGAGCCGCCTCGTTTTGCATGGCATAAACTTGAATTTTCAAAATTATTTAAGATGTTTGCCCTAAGTAGCCTTAGTTGTCGGTGGCTCGGCGGATTATAGAAAATTTGGAAGATGCCGGGTGGATGGTCGCACGGTATTGCAAAGCATGTAAAGGTAAAAAAACCCTCTATATGGAGGAGCCATTATTATTGATCCTTGTGGTGTTTGATCCAAAGAAATTGAAAATTTTGTCTAGTTAATTTCATCCTCGAAGGTTTGTAAATGTTGTGTTAGGCCATGTTAAGTCGGTATTGAAGCGTTTCCATATATGATAAAGAAAAATGCTAGTGAAATTAGATATAGCTAAATATATAGTATTAAGCCTTATTGGGATCTATCCCTTAGGCGTGACGACATTGCCTTGGCGAAATTTGTGATTAGGTTGGTTCAGAGCTTTGGTGCGATACAGTTGCGCCGTATTTGATTTCGAAAGGTATTGCTAAAGACGCCGGCTCAAATCGCGCACCATTGAGCATGTAAACAACGCTATGGCTGAATATGTTGCAGATTTTTGTTAGGACGATGAATAGTATAATTTTGCATTAAACCGATGATAGTAGGCCTGACAAAACATTCTTTGTGCACAATCGAACGGCCCTCAAGGGATACCGGTCCAAATATCTACGATATTCACGTACCGGGATGGATCCATAGGTTTAATGCCTCCTCGCGAAACATATGTTGCACATAAATCCTTATTTGGCGGCTCCCACGCTCATTCAGTTGGGGACTTATATACGATCGTCAGAAGTTTTAGAATTGTAAAAACAAAATGAGTTTAAACCAATTATAAAGCATTACAAATTCTGGACAATTAATATTGGTAAATCTGAATACGAATCTTACACCAAAATTGGATTATAAGATGATATAATCTCGTTGAATTCTTCTGACCGGATATATACTAAAGAAATCCTCGTTATTGCTTACAATCACGCCAAACGGCCAAGTAACAGACTCTTTGGCCCAATGCCATTGAGCTAATGTCAGGAGGCTATACGCGTTGCTAGGTGCATTGCAGGGCCTTAATCAATTTCAGATTTCGCCCCACGCAATACGACGCAGTGGGCCATCCGTGGATTTCTTGCAGCAGACCCGATTAACGCAAGAAATATTGAATAGAGGCAGATAGCAAATCACAAAATCCATCATATGATATCAGAAGCCGGATCAGATGTTATCAAGCATAATCAAAATCCCGCCGGAAATGTGGGATGAAACCCATGGCAAAATAATTGAAACAATTCTTTCGTGGGTCCTAGGCCCAGAGCAAAAATATTTCCAATTTTCTCTTTGTTTAATATGAAGAATATTATTATGGGTGATGGGGCATTAAATTCTCCGATTCATTATTTGTTAATATTTGATGCATTGGTTTGAGGTCGCATGGATTGTGGCAGCATTGATAGAATTATAACGTTGTTCAACATTGCGCAACCTTTGTTACAATATTGATATTGAGATTGTTCAGATATTGACAACATTGTGATATTGAGAAACCTTACATTTTGCAGCTTGATCATAGCATGCAACAATTGATCGGATAATATATGTGCCGTAATCCAATATATTTCTTCATATATAATAGCATTTATTAATATAATATATTTTTTTTTAATGAAAAAAAAATAAAATTCTTTGGGTGATCATATATGTGAAAGAAATTACACAAATAATAAGAAAAAATATTTATATAATAATATATAATAATCAATAAAATATATATCTATATAATTCAATACATATATGTAATTTATATTTTATATTTCTGAAATATATAGAAATAGTTTAGTAATTTAAATGCATATATGGAATAGTATTAAATATGTATTTTAAAAATTTGCTATATTCGTTATATCTATAATAAATAAATACAAAAAAATATATTTGGTGTTCAAATTATATATAAAAAAATATTAAAAATTTGGTAATCTATATATATTGATTATTTTATAAATATATTAAATATAATATATCTTAATTAAATTCATCTATTTTATATTTATATGCAATTTGCAAAAATATTTATTTTATTTTAAGCAGAATAATATTTGAAAAAAAAAAAAAAAAATAAATAAATAAAATCTAGAGAATAAAAAATAATATATATATATATAGTATTATTTGTAAATCAAAAATCAATTAAATTTAGAAATAATTCATTTCGAGACGAAACGATTCGGAGGGAGAAGGGGGCTAATATATTCAAAAATCAATTCATAAATAAAGATATAATTTCAATTAAAAAAATCAATTCCAGGGAGATAAAATAAAAAAATCAATTCCAAAGGAAGAAGAAAGATGCATTAATTTATAACTATAAAATCCGAAATATAAATTGTATTGATTTCGCAAAAGAAATTCAAAAAAATATCTTTAAAAATATATTTCATAAAATATATATAAATATATTCAATTTATCAATATTTTTATTTAAATTAATACAAAAATATTATATACTAAAATAATATTACTAAATTTATAAGATCCAAAAGAATCTAAAATTCAATTTATAGAAAATATTTCCTATAATTCAAAAAATATAAATTATAATGATTGAATATATATATAATATAGATTATAATGATTGAATATATATATATAATATATCTGTTTTATTCGAATACCAAATTAAAATATATTAATAAATATATCATTAATAAATATTATAAAAAAAATCATTTACTATATTTTCTATATTATTATATTTTTTATATTTTAGTTATATTTATATAATAGTTGTGCAAAATTATCATTATATATATAGTTATATATAGATATTTATTTAAAATATACCGACATCAATTCAATTATATTTGGTTAAAATATACCGATATCAATTCAAATAAATATCAAATTTTTCTATTATATCGTACAAATATCGATTTTAAAATTATTGTTGAAAGTCTTAATAAATTCTTCATATCTGTTCCTAACATATCCTTTCCCGTTATATCTATCTCCAATATAAATTCCTCCCCCCCGTAAAAGATTCCGTTTTGTATACAATTAATAAATATCTTCGCGATTAAGAAAAAATATTCCTAAATAATTTCAAAAATTCGATAATATTATTCCTATTATAATATCCTCCTTCATTTTATCTATCTTCCATTAAAAAATCCCATCCCATATAAAATACCCTTTTTATAAACAACCATTATATCATTTACAAACCTACCCCGAAGATTTTATTCATTACCCTCAACAAATCATATTATTTTTCGCAATCCCTTCCCCATAACATTTTATTTCCCTTCCTACCTTCACAAATCACATCTTTTCCACAAAACAACAACATTTTAAGAAACATTCACCTCCCTCTCACAAAAGAAAAACCTATTCTCGACGGAAAAATACATTAAATACATATTAATATTGTCTTATCATAAATAAAAAATATATATATATAAATATTATATTATAAAATATTGTTAATATATATAAATATTCAAATTAAAAAATATTTATAAATATAAAACTAATTTTATAGAATAAAAAACAAAAAAACATAATTCCTTTCAACATCTTTCAAAAAGAATCATTAATGTAATTCTTTATTAATTCCTTTCATTTTTAATTTAATAATCCAAATTCTATTCACTAATTTGCATTTAAAAAGAATTAAAAATTAATTAAATGTAAAAATATATTATAATAAGAAAAAAAAATAAACGAAAAGTATCGCAACACTACGTATCAAAAAAAATGCCTACCTATTTTAAAACCATTACTATTACGTAAAAAATTATATTAAAAAGACGAATTTATATTTAAATCAACCAATTTTATTGCTATTTTAAAATTATATAATTCAAAATTATTTATATTTTAAAAAAGACAAAATCATATAAATACCGTAATTTTTAACAATTTTAAGGCCTCCAAAAGCCTCAAAAATCCTTTCCAATAAAATGTTTCCGATCATTTTTTTAATTAAAATCCATCAAAAGCCCCATAATGTTCAATCACCATTAAAAATTTTTAAAATTAAAAAAAAAATATATATATTTACGATGTGTTCGAACCATTAATTCCGAAATATTCCAATTAATTAAATTCAATATAACGTCAAAGCAACGACATAATAATTAATATTAATTTATTTTAATTCTATTTTTATTAATTTATATGTTTTATTTTATTTAATTAATTTAATATAATTTAATTATTTATTTTAAATTTAATTTAATTTAAATATAATTTAGTATTATTAATATTGTATATTTCTTCTTAAAATATGTATATTTATATATATTATTTGAATATAGTTATGTTTATTTCGTATTTGATTATTTTCTTTTTTTTATTTATAATTATGTATATTTATTTAAAATATTAAATGAATTATTACGAAAGGTATAGCCTCTAAGAAGTTGTCCGATCCTTGAGCGGCCTTTGTCATTGCAGGCACAAGCCCTTATCAACCCCACTGCCTGCTTGCCGTAGGCACACCAGTGTTCTCGATCACAAACAGCAACCGGCGATCGAGACCCGGTATGCGGTCATTGATGGCCTAGTGGATCTTGACACTATCGAACGTGAGCCCATGGGTGGAATCTAGGTTGGTGGGGAATCCAAAATCGCAAGGTCCCCTTTTGGCGGAGGGCTGAAGGGTTGAAGCTCCCCAGCTCCCCACCGTGGTAGAAAATGCTCGGCTTTTGCAACACGCCTTTACCTTGGCATTGTTGGGCGGTTTGCCCAAAGACACTGAGTCCTTTTTAGCGTGTCCAATGGGGACGCATCACTGGCCAAGGGAATTCTTTATGTACTGGCTGTAAACATACAAAGTGACGGTTACCCGAGTTATAACAAGTGTCCTAAGTGTTCATGTTTGTCTACGCCTCAATGGGCCTAACTGTGCGTTTAAATCGTCTACAGTGCTGAACAACTGTTCTGGATGGGTGTCCGTCACTTACACATTCTCGAGGCTCGGCTTTATGCGGATCATTGCTGCACTGAGCTCAGCAGTATGGCCCTGGCCTAGGTGAGATCATCTGCAATGTGCTTCATCGACTCTCGTACAAACCATAGCCCAACATCCTTCATGTATGTCCTGTGCGTAAAATACTTTTTGTGTAGCGTAATGCAAAATATTGCGCCAGCTATCAGTGACTTCCACACTCCCAGCTGACTTCTACATCAGCACCCAAACTACTTCTTGTAAGACAACTCAAATTCAGAGATTCGATTGGATTCCATGAGTTCAGGCCTCTACACCCCAACCCTCCCAAGCAAGCAAAACCGCCACCTGGACCTGTGGCTCCCAAACCCCTTGGTCAGCGACCTTGGGCCTCAAGACCAAGCAGGAGCACTCTACACATCCTGTGAGTTCTGGTGAGACAGCAATGGTTCAGCTTGGGTCGATGACTTGTGGTTCGGTGAGGGGACAACGCCGCAATCCTAAGGAAATCGACGACTTGTGCTCCGGCAAAATGATTGGCCATCTCTTGAACTTGTGAGAAACTGGCGCAATTGGACCGTGAGTCAAATCCAAAGCAAAGCGGGTTTTGCGCAGTGGCGTGACCATATCCGTGGACCCTTCGTCCCAATGGCGATGGGAGGACAAAGCTGATACAGTAACGCTTGCTGTTAGGTTCGCTTCTAGGTTGGAGGCCATTGCTGTTACTAGGTTGGAAGCCCTGTTGAAATTTGGGCACCATCTTCCCATCGCCTGCGCCCCAAGCGCGTTTCGGTGTGGAGGTGAGAAACACGCAACGCGCAGCAGTCACGAACGAAAACGGAGTCCAATAAAAGCTGCGCTCCAAGATCCAAGGAAAGCAAAGAAACAGTCTGTCCAAATCACACCAGGTAGTTCGGAAATTGAGCAGCTCGTCTACTATGTGGTTCCACTGGGTAGATAGATGCTTCACTCACCGCATGTGGATTCTGTAAGTTTCAGTCTTTTTCGCGCTGATTGGAACAAATGTCCTGCCCCTCTAACCGGCGCTTGTTCCACTGAAGCGCCGGCTGCGACAAAAAGCCCATCTAGCGCTGCACCAGCCGCGTGCCACCCCCGCCTGGCAGGATCTGTGGGTTCTCAATGATCCACCTTAGTACACGTTTGCAATGGCGGCGCCAGGCAGAACTTTGGCCTCCAGAACGGCACATTTGCTGGCATGATTGATTGGAACGAAAGCTGGCTACAGCAGGCAAGCAAATGGAGAATGAATACAGGTGGCAGTTTTCTTGAAAATATGTGTGTTACTACTAAATATTGGGAAATGTTTGGCAACAGCAACAACGACGATCGATTGTATATGTATGTATGTATGTATGTATGTATGTATGTATTAGTATGTATGTATGTATGTATGTATGTATGTATGTATGTATGTATGTA